ATTGCTTGCCCAGACTCTTATTGCCTTCTTCAGCGCGGTCTACTGAATACTCGTCTCTGTGTTTGCTTGTGGCTTCAAAACTTATTACAGCTGGCTTTACTCTAAATCATACGCACCTCCACTGGCTGGATATGCACCTAAACTAGCAGAATATGCACCTAAACTAGCTGGCTCCAAATCATATGCATCTAAACTACTAATAGAACTAGTTAGCTCCAAATCATATGCATCTAAACTACTAATAGAATAGAAGAAAAGTCACCCCTCACTGTAACTGACTACTTACTGGAGCGGGTGCTAACGTGTGCGGAGCCTCACTCCGAAACTGACTTATTGAATAGAATTGTGTGCTCTACACTTATAGAATAAAGTCACACCTGAAAACAGGACTGGCTAGTATATGTTATTCTATTTAGAGTTGTTTAACTCCGGCCAGGGGAAACTCTGATTATAGCTAATCTACAAGGGGCTTCAGAATATTATAAGAAATAGTCTTTTCACGCCGGTTCACTAAGAAAATGCAGAAAGGTCCGGTCCATCTTGCCTCTCTATCGGATGTTACACGACATTGACGCGTAATAACATAGACCTTAGAGTCATAACTACACTCAGATTCTTTCCATCCTGCCTTACTCAGATTCTTTCCTTCCCGCCAACACCCTATGGAGCTGAGCTTCAACGCCTTTACTATCTTCTTTCCAGCCGGACCCTGACTTTAATTCATTCAGTAGCAAACTCCTAACATGCATATCATTTAGTTAGTTATTGCAGAATTGCATCTCTCTAGCAAGCTCTATAGACTATGAAAATCAAGCACCGAACCGAGACCTAACTCGAACTGCGGATTCTGTTGTCGATGTAGATTTGACTCGAACAGCTTACGATTCCACTTATTGACTTTGAGCTTCATCAGAAGTACTCTTTCTTCGTCGGGAGCTTCTAACGCAAGTTATTACTTCTCCTATAGAACTGGTATTCGATGAAAGTCACTTTGTTTATTGATATTGAGTGGAGCTGGGCTGGGCCACAATCTCGATGTTGGACTCGGGTGAAGGTATCTCGTTTCGTAGTTTCGTAGAATGGTTAACCTAGAAAGAAAGAAAGGAAGCAACGACGGTGCAAGACAACCTGCGAGCTACTGCGGTGACGACTTGGACCACTACAAGGGAAAGAAAAGCACTCTAAGGGAAAGTCAATTACAGAAGCACTAACGAGAAAGTCAATAAGGCAAAGGGAAAGCTGTAAATAAGCCCATTCGAGAGTCGCCCAGGGGAAACTCATATGATAGGGAAAGATTCATTGAAACTACAAAAAAGAGCTCCCGAAAACTGGTAGGAATCCCGGCCAAGCAGACAGGTAACTACAATTAGTGACCTTGCTTCTATCTTATTGGGTTAGTTACCCTCATCCATCTATGAGACCCCTCTATTCTGTCAACTAAGACTTTTATTGCTCCTCTTATTCTATTCTATATACAACAACTAAGGTAAGGGAAAGCCAACCATAGGATAATACTTACTGAAACAAGGGATTCCACTAGTAATTGCTTGGTTGCTCCCCAACATTCCATTCTTTCATTCCGGTAATTGGTACTTTCTCCGGACTCTGGAACTGTAAATTAGTAATGAATAACCCTTAGAGTGAACCCTCTGCTCCCCTATTTGTTACTTCAATGTGAGTAGTTTCCTTCTGACTCTTATTACTTCTGACTCTTATTAGTTGTATTTTCATTACCTCAATTCTTAGTGTTTCCACTCCGCACCCCTACATAGCTAGTATACGCTTGTCTACTTATCCGCTTTGCCAATAGTATTCTCTTATCTTGGCAAAAGCTTGCTTACTTGTGCTTGTTCCCCGAACTATACTCTACTGCTTACTCTCGTACTTGACTTCTTGCCTAAAGCGTGTTTCATTGAACCAAGCTACTACTACAGTTGCTAGGCCGGGCCGCTCTTCGGACTTTGAACTAGCTTCTGCCCCTACCTCTCCTTGACGTGAATCATGAAATTGGATATCTCTTGGCACCTCGTTATATAAATGATTAAAGAACTGGGCGAACGGAACTCAACTTGCCTTTTTCGTTTCAGCGCAACACAAGCCTCCGATACAGGGGACTTTTGGAAGCCTTATACACAAGAGCACCTACTTCGATTTCTCCTTTATTTCACTTAAACACTAGCACCCGACCCGAACTAAATAAGCTAACTTGTCCCGAACTCCCTTACCTTAACAGAGACCTTTTGTCCCGCTGTAGCTGTTCTACTTTCATCGTATCTATAAGCGGAATCGACTCTCGAAGCGGTTTCAGGATCTTCATCAGTTTCAAGAGAATCCGCAGTTCGCGGAAAGTCGTAGAGTTCTGTTCCAGTTTACAGTTCCAGTTCTGAAAGTTGGCAATGCTCTTCAATCCCTTTATATGATAGGCGCATAAGTCAGAAATGAGAGTATTGACTCGTCGCAAGAAAGAGAGAATGAAGTATTTGTTGATTCAGCGCTAACAGGAACGGAGTGGAATGTTGTAATGCGAGTTTCTAGTTAAAGTTCTGAGCAAGCTTAGTCAACGTACTGTTGCGTGGCGCTAGAAAGATTCCATTCCGGATTTGTTGACTGAAGATCACCAGACTCATAATTCACTGAAGACTCAACGGAAACTGCCCCAACAAGATGTTGCGCTAACCTAACGTAAATTCCAGGAAGACCTTGCCTGGCTTTGAAGCGCTAAGTCAGCAACAACAACAAGTGGTTCAGGTCCTTAAAGTGTAGTTCGGGCAATCTTCCCATATGCGCTCAATAAGAAAATGAGTATTAGTTGACTGGGAACAAGATAGGACGTAATACCTTGCTTGTGCTAACTGGGGTTGGTTCAAGAAGTGGAAAGGATTGGTTTGTAGTTGGTGCTCTAGCTCTCAGGGTGCCCGGAAAGTTCACTCTAGAAGAAGTTGCCCTTAAGTCATTAGGAAAGTCAACAGAGTACACAATACTTTAGCGTAACCTTAGTAGTTACTTGTCCAGTGACTTGCCCGTTGCTTGGCGTCTTTGCTTGCTTTCATTCCCAGACTACTTATTAGGGCGATTACTCTTTCTTATGATTCTTAGTTGACTTATTGATTATTCAATTCGGTTATTCTTTTCACTTATATTTCATTATTCTATTTAGAATTCTTCTATTGACTTATGTTTTCTCATATGATATATTCTTATAGTTTATTAGTGGTTTGCTTAGCGTAATTGTATCAAAAAACGAGAGTGCTTTTTCTATTCCCTTGAGAACTGTTGGTTCCGGTGTGAAGTCCAATCCCTCTTTCTTAGTTGCCCTAGTTACTTCCCTTGCGACAGTTGCCTTAGTCACTTCCCATGCGACAACTCGGACTTTCTCATGGAATTCTGTATTTGTCATTTCCAACCTCTGATCTAAGGGTGCTCCTGACTAGACTCTAATCCTTACCATTGATTTATCCTACTCTGGCCCGGACTACAAGAGGGGGTTCGAGCTATAAGACATTGAATGGAAAGTGAGAATCAAACACGGAATCAGAGGAATCACACTCTAACATAGGACTCGGCATAAGGTGCTGAAAGCCTGAAAACAGAGCCTCGCTATACCCAGATGATCTTCATCGATATATGGAATCACACTCAAACTATCTATTAGTCATTCCACTAAATAGTTGCAGAGTGGCTAAGCGGGAGAGTCATTCCACTAAATAGTTGCAGAGTGGCTAAGCGGGAGAGGCAGACATAATTGACCTCTAAACTAGGAATAAGTAGACTAGACTAGCTCCCACACAAGAATTGACCTAACTCGAACCTATAGTATAGTCATACTCGAACCAACCTATAGTATAGTAGTACGTGCTCCTTCTCGCCCACACCTAGTGCTATAAAGTAGACCTAGTGCTATAAAGTAGTCAATAAGGAGTTCCACTCATTTGTCAAAGAATGAGGACGTAGGCACCCGTCCAGCGCTCTCAACTAGTAAATCCAAACTCGTAAATAAAGAAAACCACTAAGTAATAGAATAATCGGTTAAGTAATAGAATCGCAGGTGAAGTGATATAATCATTGGTTAAGTATAAGTAAGAGAATAATTGCCATATAATAAATCATTGGTTCCAAAGCGTTGTAAGAGAGTCATTTTCATATATCATAATAGGTTCAAGGGCAAAGTCAGATAATAATGAGTTAAGTCAGATAATAATGGGTTAAGTAGGATAATCATTGTCATTGTTCCAAAGCTCTGTAAAAGAGTCAGAGAATAATTGTCATTAATATATAACAATTGGTCCCATAGCGTAGTAAGAGAATTGACACGGAGTCAACTATCTTCTGTTTTGTCTAGGGCACCCGAGGGCCTCCACGACTTTGCCGGGTTACCACTACTTAGCCTGTCCTCTACCACTTGGATTCTGCTGTTCTTTACTAGCTTCAAAACCTATGACTGCAGGCTCTTCACTGTTTACTCACACACAATATAGAAATTGGCTGCTTTGCTTCCTTACTCACTTAACTTACTAATTGAGCACCTATTTGATGCTGTAGTTTGCTAGCTCGATCTAGTCAATAAAGCCATGCCCGTTCACTAACACGCTATAGAATATATATATGAAGCTTGTTCCCCGAGAGTCAGTGTAAGCGCCTTAAAGTGGATTGTTGCCTTGTGCGAAATCCAAGAATGAAGCATTCCTGCTCCGGCTCTACTTGCTTACTGCTGACTCACTACTGGAATCACTCATATCGGCAGCCTTACCTCTGATCGCATCGCCCTTGAACTTGGCTTTACCTTTGCGCCCTTGACAATACTTCGATGGAATCTAGAAAGCAATGCAATAGAAGAGCACCTAAAGAACGTAAGAAAACACTCAAGACTCTAGCTCTAAACTCACATGCTGACTTCTTGAAACTCCTAGCGCACTCACTTGTTTATTTCGATCTATACTGCTGACTTCTTGAAACTCCTAGCGCACTCACTTGTTTATTTCGATCTATACCCGGGAAAGCAACGGCCAAGCTACTACTACAAACATGGAATGCCCACATAGGGGTTCAGTCTCTAGTAAAGGGACTATACTCAATCTCTAGGACGGACGAAAGGGTGACTATGAGTTTGATTATATCTAAACCAAGCAGCATCTAGCCTTAAGATTGGATTTGATACGGTGGTGTTTGTTCAACCTGTTCCCAGAGATTTGTCTGTGCCATTCCCCCTAACTCGGTCCGGTCTGCCTCGAATTATCCCTTCTTTCCATAGAAAGATGATTCGGGACTCCTCTGCTGAGAAATTCGTGTTTGTTGTTTGACTTATCTGTATTTGGATCTATATCTAAATGAATACTGTTAGCAAAACCTTTCTTCCTTATTTGGATCCATATCTAAATGAATACTGTTAGCAAAACCTTTCTTTGACTAAGGCAACATTCCAATCGATTGTTACCCCGCCTTAGGATTGAGGATATGGACTCTATTCAGAATGTGGTATCGGAACATCAAATTCATTTCATCGATATTAGACGATGATATTGTCCATGGATCAGGACCAAGCCCCTTGTTCAAGGGTTTGAGTTCGAACCAACCTAGAAAGCCTTGCCGACTTGAAAGATGGTTCAGGCAGCATTAACACAAAGAGGAACCAAATTGACATTCTACCAGAAAGTGAGGAATGACTACTTGATTTGTCTGTCTTATTAAATAGCCTCATTCATTGTGAACCTTCACGCATGCGCAAGGTGTTGAGTCAGGGTTGTTCATCACCTGATTCGTTACCCGTTGGATGTGAAGAAGACAATTCTCACAGGATTGTGGATCTAGACAGGTTTTCAAACAGTATAGGTCCCCATATCTACCAACTTGTGATAATCTCGGTATTCCACCGAATTCAAGCTGGTGTTCATCCGTCTCTGGTCGTCTAGGTTTCAATTTCTTTCTTTGGAGGGAGCAGGCAAGAGGAGCGCGATTTGCAATTATGTCAATCAGCGTTTATTGAGACCGGTCCATAAGTGGGCAGCATCTGGGTTGAAGTCCATTCCAATGGATGGTTAATATCACCTTTGTATCGGCTCATTGGCCGTCAAGGCGGTTTTGTTTATCTTATGATCTTAGTGCAGCCACTGACCGGTTAAGCTTATTATAATGTTTGAAATTATGGTCTTGTTCGATAGGTCTTATACCTCTAGTGTTGTTAATTCCGCACTGGCTACAAATGTTGGTACCCTGAGTCAGGCGCTAATGGTCCCGTCCCAAGTATGCTTTGTTGCAGGGCATTAGGCTCGGACTCCTCTTTCTTCCCCATTGTTCGCATTTGATCACTATTATTTGGTGGTGTGCTGAACAGGTGTACCCGAAGTTTACCGATTATGCAGTACTTGGCGATGATGTTCTCATTGCCGACCAAGCTGTGGCGCAGAAGTACCACGAAGTATTAGGGAGATTCTCTGTTTCTATATATAGGGAGATTCTCTGTTTCTATATCCAAAACCAAATGTGGAATCTCACATCCAGTAGCTGTGGTATTTTCTAAGAGATTCTTTACATGGGGGTTGAGTCCTCCAATCTCAATCCGATGTCTGGCTAATCCTCATAGGTGCTATTAGGATGAAGCGTATCTTAATGTGCGTTGGTACTACACAGTCGCTTTTCGATCTGATGTCTCCTTACAATAGTTTTCTTCAAGGATGTGCCTATTAGAATAGAACAACCCAGAGCAGAGAAAGAATCCAAAGAGAAAATCCAATATTGTCCGTTTTGGTCTCATGTGGAAGTGTTATGATATGGTTGTATCTTTGGGGTTGGCATACCGTCCTCACATTTTGGACGTGATGACAGAGCCGCTTTTCTTAGGTGGTTATCTCTTGGGTGGAGTAATTTGTACTAATGTGATTGTCTCTGTGTGGGGTCTGGAACAGCCTGCCTCATGCAGGGAATAGGGTTGTAAGCTTTGACTTGACGATTCCCCTGTGTTGACCGTTCACTAGAAGACTTTAGGCGTCCATATGAGTGTACAAAAAAGAACTTTGCGATTTCAATGCTGGGTTTAAGGTTCACTTATAATAAGATGGTTTTTCAAGGCTATGTTTTGGGAAAATAGGGTGTGGGGTTACATAATACACCCGGGGGCCCTGTTTGCACGTAGTCCTGTAGTGCAATCCCCCAATCTATACTAGAATATAGCTTTTCTAAAGAGCAGCTTGAAGCAAGTGGCAATGCTATAAGGGCATTTCTATACCAATGGCAGTGTGAAAGCCGTATTGAGTAGTGCGCGTTGGATCTTTGCTTGGGCAGCAGCTTAATCGATACTTCACGTAGATTGCCATGTTTGTATCCGAACGAAAACACCTAACGGATTTTGGTTATAGTGAAAGATGTAAGTATGGATACTTGTTCTCTAATTCCGATGAAGAAAACGGTAGCAACGAATTGGGAGTAACCCTAGTTTGTCCATTAGTTCCCAGCCCTGAATTTGCACCAGGAACTTGCCCCCGTAATGAAGGAAAGATAGGACTAGGTATTTTACCAAATCAAATAGGATGGATCGCCCACTTCCTATAGAACCTATCATTAAATAGAACCTCTCATGAAAATACCCAGTGGAGGGGAAGATCGTTGAACTTATTGATTTTGCCAAAAGATTATGACCTTTGGGAGTTCCAGCACCCATTTGGAGTTGGTTTTTCTCTATCCTTCAGAAACCACCCCTTATATACCTTTTAGCATTCTGTTTCGCGTTGGTAAGCCCAAGAAACAAGAATCAATGAGTAGATTCGAGGATAGCTATGGACACCGGTCACTTAGTCCGCCCCGAAGATCTAGCCAGCTCGACCATTAATAACAGCACCCTTACTTGCTTCCAGCTCGACCATTAATAACAGCACCCTTACTTGCTTGGCAATCAATCGAAATACGGCCTTAGGGAGTTGGTCAAATAGAAGGTCCTTCCAAGCCGGGCTAAGCAATGGACCAGCGAGCAATAGCAATGGAGTAATTCAAGCGCACAAAGATGGAATATGGACTAAACTCTCTTTACTCAGTAGGCGACTAAACATAATTGCCAGCTTCAATCAAAATATCCCCTATGATAGAAACCCCACTTCAAAACCCTCCCATGGGCAATCGCTAGAATTCACCCCTCCAAAGGCACCAATCTATCTGGCTGTGGAAAAGTCAATCCTACAGTTATTCGAAAATGAAAAGCTTTTATGCTAGTTTCTTCGGTCAGACCCTAAACAGCCATCATTGATTTATTCCAGGCCTTCGGAGATACATTTCCGAGAAAATCCAATATCATTCCGAACCAAGAAGGTAAGTGTTCGATCTAATCCCTCCAATCCATTGTAAACTCTATCTGGGGTAAAGGGGGAAAGGATCGAGGTCTTTCTTTTGATTGAAGTGTCATTGTGATCATCCCCGCTAGCATTAGTTGTAACGGTAAGCCCAATTCCATTATACTTTGAAGGCTTTTGCTCGACAGTAAACCGTATCCAAGTCTTTCTTCCCGACCTTATGGTTTAGGATCCGCGTTGGAGTTTTCGTCTTGCTCATATCAATATGAGAACTTGTAGACGAGGGATGGGATTTAACCTGCTTCAAAAGCTCATAGGCGAGGGATGGGATTTAACCTGCTTCAAAAGCTCTGGCACGGGCCCTCTTGTAGGTATGTTTAGTTAAAGTCGATCATGCCGCCGAGACAACTGTTCCGAAACAAGAGAGGTATTAACGATCAAGCAGCCTAGCCAGTTGGATATCAATTTCCATTATGCTGGGTGGTTTGGGTCTTCTTCAATTGGTTTTCGGTCCTCTTTCTTAAGGCAGAACAACGAGTAATCCAACCTTCTCCCTAGGGGCGTCTAAGAACAGATCCTTATGCGCAAGAAAAAAGTGAAACCAATACCCGGGCACCTAGTAGCTTAATAAGAAAGAATATCTACTTTGTTGCTAGTTTCTTAATAAGAAAGAATATCTACTTTGTGTGTGTGAGTGAGGTTGATTATATAGGTAGGTAGTCTTTGCTTAACTCTAGCCTCTAACGCCCATCAGTCCCATGCCTTTCCTGGCAATAAGAGTCAAATTAATCAAGTCGAACTACACTTGATACAAGTCTTTCCTAATTTGGAGAGCTAGAAGCTGAATCGAGAACAGGAGAAGCAATGGCAATGTTGGATCCAAAGCCAGTTCCCTTGGAGCTAGTTCAATAAAGTAGACCATAAAATCCAGAGCATTCCATGGACGTTTATAAGCTAGTCAAGTCTGGTGTAGGTCTTCCACAGCTAAGAAAGAGTATATATCAAAGTGCAGCCTTTTTCTCGGTTAGTGGGGAGGCAAAGCATAAAACGAATCCAATACTAATACGGAACAGGAAGCTGCCTTGTAAGCTGCGCTTCCTATATAGATAATTATTCCCTTCCCTCCAGAGCTTGCTTGCTTTAAGAGAGTCAGTCTATCTTTAGAGCTTGCTTGCTTTAAGAGAGTCAGTCTATCTTTTTGTCCTATCGTATCGGTTTTTTAAGAACAGAGCTCTTTGGGAAGTCCAGAATGCTCATCCCTACCATGGATACAACTTATCCCTTTTTTTGGTATCCCTCTGGGGGACTCTTTTGCGTGGGATTAGGACGAGATGCCCGGCTTGCTTGGAGAATATCTTTTTTTCGGAGACACTTTCCCCACTACACGGTACGGAACTCTTCTTTATATTCCCTCTCCTCTTAAAGTCTATGATGGCGCTCCCTCTTTGACATCTGATCTTGTCATCCGGGCGGGTCCAAGCATAAAAGAAAAGAATAACGACTTCTGCCTAGCTAGCAAACAAAAGCGGAAAAGAGAAGAACAGAATCCAACTACAAATATACATCTTTATGCCTTATATATCAGAAAGTCACTAAACACTGCAACAAGCAAACAAGGAGACTCGAATCTTTATGTCTTATATATCAGAAAGTCACTAAACACTGCAACAAGCAAACAGGGAGACTATACAAAGAGCTGATTGATACTATAAGCTAGCTCTAATACCAGTACCTGGCTCAAGCAAGGCCTTGTTGTGCATTAGGAGTTTTGAAGCAAAGTAGTGTTTTGTTTCACTAATTCTATAAGTGGTGGTGCACTCAACAAGCATTCTATTCTTTTGCACTTCATTCACAATCCGCAAGCTTAGGAACAAGCCCTTAAGCAAGAGAGTGCTTTGTTACTTTTGTCTATTATATAGGAAATGCACAGTTTCATTCAATTCCACTTGCAACGGCGCAGGCCTATAAATAAACAACTGCTTTCGAACAAGCAAGGCAAGGGAATGAGCATAAGACTATAGCTAATGTGAGCTTTCCGGGGAACAAGCTACGATGACAGAGCAAGCAAGTCAAGTATCCGGTATCTAAACAGTGCAAAGCTAAGATGAGAGTCGAGCCAGCAGTCAGCTGTGTTTTTACAGTTTTGATATTAATTGTGCATGAGATTGAATAGAATTGGTTTCTGGGTGCTAAGTCCAATAATAATAAGAGTACATGAGTTCAATTTCCAGAATATAAGTAAGGGCAAGCTACGTAGTTATTAGAATTCCTGCTCCTAGTGTCTTAATTAGTTCCATGTTACCGACCAGAGGTGTTCATTATTGATTAGTTCTGAGTTCCACTACAAGGTCAAGCTGTCAATAAGGCAAAGGGGAAAGCAAAGCACATAAGGGGAATGCCCAGTTCCAGTCGAACAAAGCACTTGTACTGTTTCTTTACCTACTTTCATATATTGGCTTCTGTCTGGACTATCCGAAAAGAGAATTGAGTCTATCTTGCTACACCACTCATATAAGTAAGTAAACAACCGACTGACATATTACTCTGGTTACTCCACAAATGTACCGATAGGAGTGTACACACATCCCGCTATAGTACTACAAAAATCAGTCAATAAAAATGTGGAGATTTGAGGGCCAAGGACAAGGCAAATATGCAAGTATTCATTTCTTTCTTTTTCTGCATTTGGAACTACAATACCATATTCCAGTAGAACAGTCAAATACTTTAAGCGCATCAAAAGAATCCCTAATTGCCTTAACCCCGTCTTTTTCGATGCTAATATTGTCCTTATTAATTGCTATACCAAGTGTCAGAATTTCCTCTACGCTAACCGCTTGCTTTATACCTTGTTTCGTCAACACCTTTATACCTTGACTTGAGCCCTGCCCATGCTGGAATCCTTGCCAGTTTTAGTGTTGTTGTAGAGAGAGAGAGGTCTTTCTGATGCGCTAAGTAAAAGGTGAGCTCCGTTAGCGAGTGACTCCTATAGTATAGACAGACCCACGGGGCGGGTAATCTTATAAGTTCTATACAATGCTTGCTGCTGACCCGAAATATTAAGTAGGAAACGAAAACTCCATTAAGTCAGATCTTGATTCCCTTGCCTCTCTCTCCGATGTAAACAAATACTGATGAAACAGGCAGGACCAGACCTCTACTTGAGGACGAATCTCTCTCTGACCTAGCACCCTCACTCCCCTCTGGCTCACAAACACATATCAAGTAGGATTCTTAAAACACAGAGCAAGTAGACAACCAACCACTTTGCCATGAGCCAAGTAACTACGTAAGTTACGCTAAAGTCCCTTCCGTTCTCCTATATAAGGTTCTCTTGAGGTTCCTCTACTGTGTTGGTATATGAGAAATGGAAGTTTTCTAGTGTCTTGGCGAGTGAAAAGAGACTAGGATAAGTTGAAGTCTAGGAAGAATCAAGTATAAGCTTTGAAGCAAGCTATCCCTCCGCCCTTCACCCGCCTAATGCTTTGATGCCTATCATCTTGACTTTCTCACTTTATCCTTATCTAGCTTAGACGAATTAGAAGCCTTCATTTACTTGCAGTTTCAGGTGGTTACTTTCGACTGCGGGCTTAACCTTTGCAGTTGATCATTCTATTTCA